ATATATATATATATATATATATATATATATATATATATATTAATCCTATTTTTTCTTCTTAAAACAATATTGAGCAATATATTTTGATATGTTACTATGTAATTAAAATCATTCTTTTTGGTATCAAGTTTTTTTCATTTTAAGAAGTTTTAAAAAATTAAAATTAATCTAAACTTTCATATTTATTTTTAGTTTTATATTATAATTAATAGAACTATATATTATAAAAGTAAAAAAACATTGTAGTACAAGCCTAAAAATATTTTGTTGGAATTTAATAAAATCATTATCAATTTTTGCAACAAAATCAAATGTTGAAGTCAATAGCTAAGAATCAAATAAGTTCAATAACAATATTTTATATTATGTTGTAACTTCCAAATGAATTGATTGATAGGTTCAACATTGTCCTACTTAACATCAATTACTAGTTTTTAGAATTATGATGTGTATATATATATATATATATATATGAAATAAAAAAAATAAAAAACTTGTTTTATAACTTCGATTTAACTAATTAATATACAAAGTGCATCATATTTTTTATATATAAATTAAAATTCTACTAATAAGCTATCAATTTTTTAATTTAAGATATTTTATTCTAAAAACAATAAAAATTATGAAAATATACATATTAAATAAATTTCTAATAAATCTAATTTGAGATTCTGAAGTTGACTAACTAAAAGGTTGGAATTGAATTAAAAGTTATACTTCGTTCATAAATGCTTGAAATTTAGATCTAACACTATCAAAGCTCTTTATAAAAACAACTTTTGATTCTTTATTTGGTGCAATTACAAATATATAAGTTTTTTGAGGTGATAACTTTTTTAAATTAATTATTATTATTTTTTTGTCTTTTAAGTAATTACTTCTAAAGTTGGTTGAAGTGATAGAGAATATTAATGTATAGCAACCATCAAGTCTTTCATTTTTTTAATTTATACTATGATATTTTTATTTTTAATAAATTTTGCATAATTATAAGAACTTAAATAGTTTTATACAAGAAATGGAAAGAAAAAAATCATGCTATAGAAATATTATCAATTTTAAAAGGAATAATTATGAAAGTAGAATTTAAAATTCAATATAGATAACAAATTAGTTTTATTTAAGAGGTTTTTTAACAAGTGATTTGATTGAAAAGTAAAACTATAGACATAAAACAATAATAATAATATCCAATCAAAACAAGAGACAATATATTATTAGATTTTACTTAATAAATGATAAACAATAAAAATAAAATTTAAAAATCTTTATAGAATGTTTTCTACTTTGTTAAAAATATATATATATATAAAAAAACACATGAATTATAATTAATATAAAAAATCAGGTTATATTAAAAATAATAGTAAATAATAAATAATAAAATAATAAAATAATAGTGATTTATGTGAAGAATGATTTAATAACTTAGTCAAGAATTCAAGTTTGATTTTGGTTAACAAGTGGTATAATTATTTTCTAAAAGAGCATTTAGACCTTGTATTCATCTTCTTACTTACTTCTAAGATACTACTCCCTATATAAGACAAATATTTTGCTACACTTCTTTCTTCTATTAAAACTAATTGTTTTACAAATTTGACTTTATTATGTCATTCAAATTACCTAATTAGCTTTGATACATGTAAAGATTCTTCAAACTTGGTCCAATTTTTCATAATAACCTCCAAAAGTTAATTAATATTATTGTTTTGATAAAAATAAATAATAAATTTTACATTAATCATAAAAAAAGATTTTTAAGTTATTGATATTAAATCAAGGCTATTTTATCATATATTAATAATATTTTATAGCCACAAAGATATTTTAAATCAACTAAAATCTTATTTATTATATTAATTGTTAAAAAGTTATAATTTTTTCTTTTATTCTTTCTTTACCTACTAAGTATTATGTGCAAGGTTCTAATATTTACAATGTAATTAGAAAAGAATATTTTAGATTTTTTTTTTAAATAAACAGAAACTATCACAAAAAAAAAAAATGAATATAAAAATAAGGAAGTAAACAATAATTTTTGTATTATTAAAAAATAAGGAAGTAAGCAAAGTCGACATATATATATATATATATATATATATATATATATATATTAGATAAAAAATATTTATAATGATTAATATTAAATACAAAGAAACCAAAGAGTCTTTAATTAAGATTGTAATACAAAAAGGATGTTGATAAGATTAAACATAGTCTGAATCTTATTTCCATAGTACCAAAGCTTAGATGACCATGTTTAATTAAAAGAAATTCCAAAATATAAATTTTAAATATTAAGTTTTTATATTCTCTATATTTTTTCTTTTTTTAACTTTGTATGTTTTTAATCTTAATAATTTTGTTGACAAAACATACATTTGTTTAGTATAATATCCAAAGTTAATATATAACTTACAATATGGATTTTTAGAAGTAAAAATTTATAATATAAGTTATAAAAGCCACATGGAATATTTAAAAGAATCAATTTTTTTATATTTGTATCTAAAAATTTCTTAGATTTCTTTAAATGAAGCTACTATCTATATAACTTATTTCTACCTGCTTCGACTTACTTATATTTATTTAAATAATATAGACATCTATTATACAAAGAATCTATGTTAATGTGGCTATTTTGGCAAAGAAGGGTAGCAATAAATGCTTAGAAATTACAAATTAGCTTAAAGATATTGTTTTTAATCTTTCTTTGTACATCCTATAAACAAGAAGCACTAATATATAGATTTTGAAAATGTTCACAAGTTTGTTTGAATTAAGATTAGATCAATTTTAATTTGTATAAATTAGCCACAAATCAAAGACAATAAGGAATTCAAAAAGTGTTTTTTAAAAAATCTATACATTTTTATAGATAAATTATTATCTAGATTTTTTTTCAAAAGATTTAATATTTAATCTTTTTTGTAATTATATGTCAATGAACTACTTAAATTCAAAGAAGTAGATTTGTATTTAATATTAAAGTTTAGAGCAACATGCACATTTGTAAATTAACCTAGTTTCATATACATGAAAAAAATATATAATTACAATAAAAAATAAAAAATAAAATGATATAAAATGAATAAGTAGTTAGATGATAAAAAATATTAAATATTAAATCTTCTAAGATAAAAGATTAAATGATAAATCTTAGATGGTTAATAAAATATCAAAATTTTAATTTTTATAAAAATATGATTGAGTTTTATGAATCCTATCTAGTAGTTTTATCATTTATGCACAAATACATACATGAATTCTACAAGCAATAAAGTAAAGGTTGATTTCATACTCATCTTCTACTATTAGGTCACCTAAAACTTAAGTTGTGACAACCATAAATACATTATATATATTTTTATTTTTATTAAACTTCATAAGAATTTTTTGTTTTGTATCAATATGTATATACATTAAAATTTGAGTGGTATTAGTTTTAAAATTGTTGCAATAATTTTTAAACATAATTTCAAAATTAATCTATTATAATATAATATAATAACATATGTATTTTACTTTCTATTTTATAAAAATCATATCTATATTATATAATGAATTAAAATAAAAAACTTTAGTTTCATAACAACATTTTATACCACCAACAATAATTGAAATAAGAATGTAAAACATGCAATCAATTTTTGTGATAAATGTTTATATATACCATTTTGAGTTCTTTTGGAATAATACTTAACATTTGATTCCTCAAATCAATTCATTAAATAGTTTATACACGCAGCCTCACTACGGTAAAAAACTTCCTTTGATTTTCGACACAACACATTCAGTAAATCAAAACTCAAAATCAGAACTTTCTTCAAAAAATGAAACAAATAATATCAGCCACTCAAAAAATTAAAACCAAAAAATAATCAGGTTCGTGCATACGTACAGTTCCATAAAATATGGACTAAACAGCAAATAAAACAGAAAAAAGATAAATCCAGAAAATCGAGCATTAAGTAACGTACTGGATCATAATTGCAAATATGGATTAATGTGTGGAGAGGGAGATTTTAAGTGTGTGGGTCCTTTTGATGATCTGTGGGCACTTTGCAATAATTTTCAAAGATATTGACCTTCACAGACCAGTCTGTCGATGACAAGCCCGGAATCTGGAACGTTGATTCTCGGAGCCTTTTGCAGTGCCACTCGGACCCATCGCCGAAGTCTGGACCACCACCTGCAACTCCTGACATACGCAAACAAACAGTTATCCAAAAGGGAGTCTGGAAAAAGGATATGCATTCGTCGTGTAAATCGCTGACACTCCCATAAATATGTGGCCCATAGGATCAGTTGCTTGACCATCGTGCCAGTCTCGGTGTGCCTCTCGCGGTGAAGTTAGGGCATAGGCCCAGATTGAGGCGTCGACCTAGTTTGGACCGGAATGCTCACCGTAGCAGCAGTGAGGTCGAATCCCCCCGCTCAAATCGTGAGGTTGCAGTGGCGCAACCTACCTCCTTGCAGTTACAGTCTGACCTAGCTCGTTGCTTCGACAAATGGAGGCTCCTACGAAGACTGCGATTTTGAGAAAGATCGGGTAGCTACTTTGGAGGCTGTTTTACTGTGTTGAAATAATCCTTCGCGTTGTGTCCCGGGCCTGGGCACTTTGCTCATATTGGCTGTCAAAGTCGGCAACGGTCAGTTTATAACGATGGTGTGGGATATCAGAAAAGTCATCGTCGCATGTCATGAGTTTCAATAAGACCTGCAGTGACATGTTGAAATCTAGAATATGCTTCCGAACTGGTCGTGAGATGAGCTTGTGCAAGGAGAGATGCAGGAATCGAATTGAAATGACAAGTAGATCTTAAAGGGAATGATAAGTTGCACTTAGAAATTCCTTGTATCGAGGGGAGCTTCCTTGTGTCAAGCTAAAATTTCACCAAGTGGACTTAACAGATTTAGTTAAAGGTGAAGAGCAGAACCAGGTCACAAGCTTCCTCATATTGGGACATCACTGGCAAACTTACCAACGAATGGACATGTGGAGTTGAAGAAGTGATAATTCAACCAAAAAGTAATACAAAATCACGTCTAATGGCAGGCAGATCCACTAGGATGATGCACAGCAACTGTGTCTACAAAATACAAAGATCTTCACTTGTTTGCTAAGACTAACTAATACGTGTTCACAGGACGAATACAGAGTAAACCAAACATAAATTAGTTTCTAATTTTTGGCAACAGAATTCCATTGCAAAGATGAATCAAATGAATGCAGTGGCATTTTTCAGCACAGCTGCGTGGCATGGAACAGTATATGATGCGGATTGCCCTCAAATCGACCAGTTCTCATCCGCAACGAAACAGGATAAAGGACAAGTGCGCCGCGGCATCGACATTGCCGATCAGCTTGTGTCCTAGGGACTGCCGGTGGATTTAGCAGCCGCAGCCGCAGCCGCAAGCGGGCATACGGAAGATTCATTGACGTGTCCTAACTGGGTGATGTCTTCCAACAGGAGCACGACTTCTTCCAACTTCGGTCGCTTCTCAGGAGTAGCATCGACACATGACAGCGCCAGCTGTAACACCTTCAAGCTATCCTCTTCGACGAAATCTACAGCTCTCTTCAGCTCCGAATCGACCACATCGGAAATCCAGCGGTGTCTTTCAAAAGATCTGACCCATTTGGGAAGGTCGATACCAGCGTCGTTCTTGCAAATAGTTCGCTCCGGTGCTCGTCCAGTCACAAGTTCCAGCATCAGAATGCCGAAGCTATACACGTCTGACTGCATCGTGAATTTGCGGATGTCGGTTACCTCCGGAGCTTTGTATCCGATGAACCGGGATGGGCTGACGCTTGCGGGATCCAAAAGATGCACGAGGCCGTGGTCCGCAACAAAAGGCTCGTACTCTCTGTTCAGCAGAATATTGGCTGACTTGATGTCCCCATGCGGCATCCTCACACACGGTTTGTCTAGGTAAGCCAACGCCCTCGCCGTACCCAGGGCAATCTTCTCACGGCTGACCCAACCCAAGGGATTGCGACCTCTGGCTTCGTTGTCTGCAACATACATCGAAACCACATTCATTTACAAATACCAAAACAATGCACGACTCTCTCCAAGCAAAGCTTTCCCAAGTTTTAATTTGTAAAGAAACTGCAGAAGGACATGAGAGGAGAAAGAATTGCAATACCATGAAGTGTAGAGTGCAAGTTTCCTGCGGGCATGAAATCTGTAACCAGTAATTTCTCGTCCCGTGAGTAGTAGTAAGCTCGCAGCGGCATCAGATGTCTGTGACGCAATCTCCCCAGCTTTTCAACATGTGTCTCGAACTCCTTCTGATCGGCTGCGACATCCTTAAGTCTCTTCACGATTACGACATTATCTCCCTGCAGATTAGCCCTGTACGAAGTTCCTACGCTCCCCTTGCCAAGCACCTCAGCCGACGCTTGCAGCAGCTCATCCAAGCCGAACTCATCCCGTTTGCCTTGGTCAAGGAACACAAGCTTGCTACGAGTGGTAGGTTCGCTGGAAATGGTGACAGAGAAGGTTTCCTTTTTTTCAGGTGAGGTCTGCACTGGCGAAGAACCCTCGCCGTTGTAATGAGTCACTTGTTTTCCAACATGCGCCTTATTAATGTTGCCTTCCACACGCCGCGAATAGCAAACAATGAACACAATAATGACGACCACCAAAAGAGAGCCCAGTGCAATACTCGCAATCACTCCAACGCTGAGGTTGAGATGCCTTTGCTTCTTCGATGACATTGCTGGGGATTCATTTGAGGAACCTGATAAGGTATCCTCAAGTGGTCCAGGAATCTGCACGTTAGGACCGGGAGCAGGTGTGGTGGGAGGGCAGCGTATTGTCGTCGGCGGGCCGCACAGCCCCTCATTGCCAGCAAAACTTATGACCGAAAATTTCTGCAATGAGGTTGGTACAGGCCCCTCAAGCTCGTTGTTAGCAACGGTGAAAATCACCAAATTGTTGAATGATACTGCTGGGATCTTACCCGTGAAAGAATTACTCTGCAAGTCCAGATGGTGCAAATTGTTGAAAGTGGCGATGGAGGCTGGGATTTCACCCGTGAAATTATTGAACCCCAGACTGAAATGGCTCATGCGTGGCCAGAAGCCGGTGAAATCTGGAAGTAGTCCCGAGAACAAATTGGACCCCAAGAAGACAGCCTTCAGAATGCTGCATCTCGCGAGGTCCACTGGAAACGGTCCCGTGAGGCGATTATTGTGCATGCTCAGGACTCGAAGCTGGCCAAGATCTCCAAGGGTGTTGTCAGGGATTGATCCCGTGAGCTGGAGTCGGGGAAGACGTAGACTTGCCACGCGATTTAGATAACATTGCACTCCAGTCCAGGTGCAGGGATTAGTGCCGGAGACCCACGGCAAGATGTTTCCCGCCGGATCAACTGCGGCCTTGAACCTTTCCAGAGCTGCTCGGTCACTTTGAAGGTTTTGTTGAGGCTGTGCATGTGCCTCGATGAGAAAATTGAAGATTACAAAAAAACTGAAGCACACGTGGAAAAGAGTCGGGCAACGTGTGCTCGAGTCCCTGACCCGTTTCCTCGTCCCCATATTCTTCGCCAGTGAGCTACTCCGCGGGTCGTCGTGATTTTATTTTTTAAATGAAGCTTTTCAGAACGCGTGGTTCACATTACCAAACTGCAACTTGCATCGCAATCTCTAAGGTCTGATTCTTCTTCTTGATTGTCATGAGCACGTCTGCGACAAGCATAGAGAAGTTGCACATTTTACTCCAGAATGCAGTGAACATGAAATGACTAGAATATTAGTCGTTGGATTTCGAAATTGTTCATGACACACTGCCAAAGTCATTTCATCGCACTATTTTGCCACATGGTTTACTCCACGTTCTCGACAACAAGAGGTGCTCAGAAATGCTCCCAGATCTCTGAACTTTAAGCCAGCTCGCACGCAGTTACAAGTGAACAGTTGCTCTCACGAAACAAGCTATCTGCAATTCTTCGGTGACTACACGTAAAGCTAGTGGACTTTCAAACTAAAGGTACAGATAAACGATTCAAGAACTCACAAACATTCCACCATAAACACGAACCTGATGATGCAATGTTAGAGAAGACATAAGTGTCTGTGCGACGCACTCTACCTCCCGTCCAGACCTTCGTCGCCACCCCAACGACAGGCTGCTCTGTTCTCCCATCAGGAGCATGAAATCCAAGCTCCAAAATAGATAGCCTGTTCCAGTCCGTCATCCGGGCCAAGTTTGCATTAACTGCAAAGTCGAGAGTGCAATTAGACGACGAGGATCATGGAGCCGGGAGTTCGTGAAGATTAATCAGCTTCGCGACACCATTTGGAATCAAGAGTAATGACTGGGATCATGATGCCGAAATGTGACCAGATCCGGCCTTAATCGACCATCAGAAGTTTAACTGTTGCTGAATGGTGTGATAACCAGAAGAATCTCCTTGGACAGATGTCTTGCAATGGTGGCATTGACACAAGTGTTGTCGATGGCGGTGTCTGATATTACTGCTGCGAACTCTTGAAGATTGTCAGTAACTCTTGTCATGATGGACTTTCCTGACCTGAAGCTTAACAGGTTTTTAAAGGTAAGAATGTCTCTTGCAGTATTCTTCTTTCTGATTCATTCAGGGTCTGCATGTAAAGTCTTTTCTTTCAATAGAAAATGGAAACACGAGTGACGAAAAATGCATCTACGGAACAATTACTGCGGTACAAATTATTCTACATCCCGTAACCTGTAATTAGACGGAAATGTGGTAAAGTAGACAGAGTTAGCTTTTAAGAAAACAAATAGGGCTTACTGGTAAAGGATGGAGAGTGGTTTCAGTGATACATTTCGCGTAGTTCAATGTATAAATAACGGTGTCGGTAATGAAAAGAATCGACGGACTTGAAACAAGTTGACACGTGTAAGAGTAACACTGAGAAGAGTAAACTGCGAACAGATGTCGGAGAAATAATCATAAATTTCACAGACAGCAACGCTGTTGGTCCCATTAAAGACTAGTCTAGGTGGGTAGGTAATATGGTTGAGGATGCGAGCTCGTCAAGGAAGTATGAGCTATTCTGCGAGCATTGAATGGGCTCAAGAGCAGCAAGCAAAATGCAATTAAGAATTGCACATTGGGCTTTAATTATGGGGTTGATGACGAGCTCCAAATTTAGCGAAGTCTGCTAAGAATGGATCAAGAAATTTGAGTGGATGAGATGAGTCCGGACGTTTTTGCTGGAACTTCGTAGGTGCATTGCGTCCACTTGATGATGACCGTGAAGTTATCGGAAACTACTTTTTTGCCCAGGTTGTTGCCAATGAATCGAAGCTGCTTCAAAACCACAGAAACCAATACCAAAAAATATCGCAATTTATGCAGCGTCCATTCAAATGGTTCAGTCGTGGCTACTGTAGTTGAGTTTGTTTTCATCTGAAGGCTGTCATTTAGTTTCTCGGGCATCGGATGCGATTGTGAGGGCAATCCATAATCTGGAATATTTCGGGCATTGTATTTTCCTTTTCCAGGAATAGAGATTCACACTTGAGTCTAAAAATGAAGCACCGAAGTACAGGAATATCCCAGATAAGACAAGGATGAAGAAGCCAGGACCATCAGCTGAGCAGTGCAACAGCAGTCTGTTGCCGAGAAGCTCAAGCGATAGGTTCTGCCCTGCAACTCCTCTAGTTCCTCACGAAAGTCCTCGATACTGCATTCTTGGATATCCAGTTAACGCCCAACCACCACTGTTGCTCGATGCGTTGTTAAAACGTAGATAATTAATACGGCATTTTGTTCGTGTGTGATGCTAGCGAGTATCCCGTCAAAATGAATTAAGGATTCAGGTGATGACGAGCAAAACGTGAAGCAACATTGTAATGCCGTGCAGAAGCTGGAAAGCCAAATCACCAGGTGAAAAACAACAGTGCAAAATGGAAAGAGCGTGTGTCAGGAAAGTGCTCTACGAATAAAACTCAAGCTTGTAAATTTACAATAAATTAATATTTAAAATGGAACAAGAAGTAGATTTAAGCCATGTTGCTAAATTAAATAGATTTTATTTTAATATTTTGGAAGCATAGATTGAAATTCATTTTTAAAGAAAAAAAAATTATGGCTAATAGTAAGTAGTGCAAAACCCTTATTTGTTGCACCTACTATAGCAAAAATTATTTCTAGAGATTTATCTTTACTTGCCATAGGATTAGGAAGAATAAGTTTATGGAAAGACAAGAATACTTTGCCTTTTATAATTAATAACAATTACTTTGAAAATAGTATTGTTTCACATATACAATCATACAAGATATCAAATCTAATACAAAAAGAGTAAATAAGATTATTTGAATCTCAAGATGTAATAACAAAAAAATATCTTAAGAATAAACTACATACCTCAAAGATGAAATAGAATGTTAAAAAAACATATTTATGTGTTTAGAGCACATCTTGAACAATTAATAGCGATAGAAGCATTGTTTCTTAATGATAAAGAATACTTGCCTTGATGTGAAGTTTACTGCTAAATTAATCATCTCTCATTAATTCTTTAAAAAGATAATCAAATATCATTTTACAATAATAAAAATTAAGTCTTTTATATAAAAATAAAATATTCCAATAAAAAAATAAATTTTATTTTAATAAAAACTTTATAAGGTTTTAAAATTTAAAAAGTGAAGATAATTCTAAATCTTATGATAAAAAGAACCTTGCTATAGATAAGAAATGCTTCTTTTGTAAAGAGTTAGGACATCTAAATAAAGATTATAAAATAAGGTAACTATTGAAAAAGACAATAGTAAGAAATAAACTATTTTTTTCATAAAATCAAATAAGCTTTACATGGTTGCATTATCAATCAAAGAAATGTTCAATTCTATATGGCATGTTGATTTTGGAGCAATACAATACATATTTCATCAATTAAAGTGTTTTAATAACTAGACAAAAAATGAGAGCTCATATATTGTCTATTTAGGATATGACCTACATTCATATGTAATAGAAGGATGTAGTAATGTTACTAGTATTTGTCCAATACAAACTACTACACACTTTGGTTGCAAATACTTTATTACCTTTATAAATGACTTGTCTACACTTTAGAAGCATTTAATAGATTTTTACATTATAAGAAATGTGTAGAAAAGAAAATAAACCAAAAAATATAAATTTTAAAAATTGATCATAGATGTGAATACATATGCAAAAAATTTAAGGACTTTTTTCCAAAAAACCTTAAAGAGAAGTGACTAAAACATATACACTACAATAAAATAGTATAGTATAATTCAAAAATTAAACTCTAGTAGGGATAATTTTAGCTATACTATCTTATTCTAAATTATATGGGATGTTTTGGAGAGAAGTCCTTCTCACAACAAACTACCATCATAATAGGAGCCCAACTAAAGCTATGAAAAATAATATTGTATATTAGAAAATCCAATATATCTTATATGAAGATTTTTGGAAGCAAAGCCTTTATCTTATTTCTACAATAATAATAATTCATTAAATCTCATTCAAATTCACCATTTCAACATAACATTAATACTTACTAGTATAATACACAAGATTTAGAGCTAAAATGGTAAATTTAAGAAGAAAGAGAAGAAAAAATAATTGAATTTATTTATGTGTTTTTGTAAAACAAACTGCTTAATTGTTAAATTGACTAGAAAAAAATCTGTTGTTGATAAAACTATATAAAGTAATTCAAACACTAGCAAAGAAAACAAGATACTAAGCCTTTATAATGGTGGTAATAAAGTTTTTTAAGACTCTTTGATATATAATTAAATATGGCTATATTCAATTTATTAAAGATTCTATAATAAAAATAATATAATATTATATTATATGTATATTCTTTAAGAAAATAATGCTTAACCATGCTTCTTAAATTTTAAAAAATGAATAAATTATAAAACTTTAAAAATAAGAATTTAAACAATTTTCTTAGATTTATTGATTGAGACCAAACAAACCATGTCTTCTTAAACTATATACTAGACAATGTGATATAAGCCTATATAGCCATTTATTGGGCTCAAAGATCAAAATAAAAATTATTCTTACTTAAGTTGGACTTTATTAAAGCATACAACTACATTAAATAGGAATTAATTTATAAATCAATAGAGACCCTTGGATTTAGTATAAGCTTTATCAAATTGACCAAATTATTACTCTTAGATATAGAAGCACAAGTTAACATTAAAATTTCATAATTTTTTATAGAGGTCAGATAAAACTATTTCATATCACCTTATATTTTCTAATAATAAAAGAGGTATTTAAATAAAATATTTAGCTTGCAATTAGCCAAGTTAAAATCAAAAAACTAGTCTTACTTGAAATTAAAGAACAAATAACTATTATGGATAAATAAATAAATAAATAAATAAAACATACACACTCAAGAAATAGAGTATTGTGACAAATTACAAGCTATTGCATACAATACATTGGTCTTAATTTGATGGATTCAAAAACCCACAATGCATTATTGATGGAGTAGTTGTTTTTTGATACATTTTATTTTATAAAGCATTAATTAATATAAAAACTCAACTTAATAAGTATTTCAAAAGAATAAAAAAAACAAAAAACAAAAACAAAATAAGCATTTTGTGACTAAACTATTACCAAAATCTATGTATGCAAAGATTTAAAAAAGAGTATGCAAGCCATACCATAGGAACTAACGAAAAAAGTCATCAAAAACATAATTCCTTTGACAATTTCTATTTGGCACTCAACGTTTTGCCTTGGAATGAAACCACCTTTCACATAATTAAAACCACAATTTCTAATGAAAAGATAATGTTTTATTTACGTGTGATAGTTTCTTCTGTGAACGAATTATTCCAGAAAAGGATAAAGAACTGTGAATAAAGAACAGGGACTAGGAAGCATAAATTAGTTGAATATGTTCTGAGAGCTTGAAAACATGCTTGAAAGCATAATCTCAAATTGATAAATGTGGAAAAAACCACAATTCACAGCATCTACCACAGCTGGTCTGCAGGGAACTTACTACTACATTCGAAGTGTGACTAAGTTCATTAAGATGCCTCCAAACGAACACTTCTGGCGCACATCAACTTTGAATTGGCTGATGAGTCCTCATGGGAATTAGCTTGATGGAGTCAGTACAGATGATCACTGTCGACTATAACGTTACAATATCGGATAATAGAACGATCTACTTAATTGGCCTCTGCGACAACTTTTTTCTCTTGGACGAAAAAATCCTGCAAAGCCATCATCTCAACAGGACTACCTTTCAAACCAGTAACGGCCTGAAGAGTAGCTACGGCTCCCGCAATGGTGGTAATGATAGGTACCTTGTAACCCAAGGCCAATCTTCGCAATTGCCTACCATCAATTTGATCAAGGGCATCTCCTGAGCTGGTAATGATCATGAGTTGAATATCTCCGTTCGCTAGCAAGTCAGCTGCATGTGGCCGTCCCTCATGAAGCTTTAACACCCTCTCAACTTCTATGCCAGCTTTTCCTAAATAGTTTGCTGTGCCGTCGGTACACAGAATTTTGAAACCAAGGTCCTGGAAACCCTTCGCAATAGGTACAACCTTTTCCTTCAACATATCGTTCATGCTTATGAAAACAGTTCCAGTCAGAGGTAGCCTCTGGTTGGCAGCAATTTGAGCTTTGGCAAAAGCCTTGTCAAAATTGAAGTCAATGCCCATGACTTCACCTGTGCTTCGCATTTCAGGACCCAACAGCACGTCACATCCTTGGAACTTGTCGAAGGGTAAGACTGCTTCCTTCACTGAAACGTGACGAGGAATAACTTCCTCTGTGAAGTTCAGATCCGCTAATGACTTGCCAGACATTACCAGAGCAGCATACTTAGCTAAAGGATGCCCAATTGCCTTCGACACAAATGGAACTGTTCGAGAGGCACGGGGATTAGCCTCGATAATGTAAACCTCACCCTCCAGTGTAATTGCATACTGGCAATTCATCAAACCAACAACTCCAAGTCGGCGAGCAAGTTTGGTTGTATAGTCGCGGATCTTTTCCAATGCCTCCGACCCAAGATTTTGGGAAGGAAGTGTACATGCTGAATCACCTGAGTGCACACCAGCTTGTTCAATATGCTCCATGATACCTCCAATAACGACATGCCCTTCAGCATCCGTCAGGGAGTCCACATCAATTTCAGTAGCATCTATCAGGTACTTGTCAACCAGAACGGGCCTCTCCGGGTCAACCTCCACAGCCGTCTCTAGATACGTCTTCAACTTTTCGTCGTTGTACACAATTTCCATTGCCCTTCCTCCAAGAACGTACGAAGGCCTGACCACAACAGGGTAACCCACTCTCTTTGCAATTGCCAAAGCATCATCTTCACTTTTTGCGATTCCGCCTGATGGTGACTTAATCTCAAGCTCATTGAGGATAGCATCAAACCTCTTCCTATCCTCCGCTGCATCTATCGAATCTGGCGTCGTCCCCCAAATCTTTACCTTGCCCTCACCACTAGCAGCATCAGGTTGGAACTTCTCCAGGTATTCTTGAATAGGAACAGCCAACTTCAGTGGTGTCTGACCACCAAACTGCACGATAATTCCATCAGGTCTTTCCAGATCGATCACGTTGCACACATCCTCCGCTGTTAAAGGCTCGAAATAAAGTCGATCAGAGGTATCGTAATCAGTAGATACGGTCTCTGGGTTCGAGTTCATCATAATAGTTTCGTATCCGGCATCCTGCACAGCTCCCGAGTTCCATCACTATCAGCATGATTGAACTCAGTGCGGATCTATTATGCATAGTTCTATTAATCAAAATACGAATTTACTCGTGCTTATATTTTAAGTAACGGGTGCAGCGTATCACATAAAATTTGGACATTCAAACTCGCGTACCCCAAGGGAGAAAGCTGCGTGGCAGCAACAGTAATCGAACTCAATTCCCTGACCAATCCTGTTAGGTCCACCTCCAAGAATGAGCACCTTCTTACGCGTAGTTGGAGCTGACTCACACTCTGCGTCGTAAGAAGAGTATAAGTAAGGAGTATTGGCCTCAAATTCCGCAGCACAGGTGTCCACACGCTTATAAGCAGGTTTCACTCCATGTTGAAGTCGGTAAGCACGGACTTCTAATTCCGTAGACTTTGTAGCATATGCAATCTGCTTGTCACTAAAACCTCGCCTCTTGACTTCGTAGAGGTCATCTTTGCTGAGGTCACTCAACTTTACACTTTCCAAGAAGTTTTCAGTTTCCAACAACTCGCCCAGCTGGGAGATAAACCACGGGTCGATGAGTGTCAAGTCGCAGATCTCATCCTGTGTCATTCCACGCTTCATGGCAGCATAGAGAGAATACATACGCTCAGGGTTGGGTACACGCAAGTTGTACTTAATTTTATCCCAGTCCCATTCAAGCTCCTTGACCTTCTCACAGCCCCAACCACTATGCCCCGTCTCCAAAGACCTCATCGCCTTCTGAAACGACTCCTGAAACGTCCGCCCCATAGCCATAGCTTCACCAACAGACTTCATTTGCGTAGTCAAGATTGGCTGAGAACCAGGGAATTTCTCAAACGCGAATCGTGGAATCTGTAAAACTCCAAAAAGACACGAAATCCGATGAGTTAGTGTATTCATTTCAGCATGATGACATCCTAGTGCATTAAAAATGAACAATGTCTCCAATCAAACAGGTCACAAAACACATTGGAAGATGAATACTGTACCTTAGTGACAACGTAATCAATCGAGGGCTCGAAACTGGCTGGAGTTTTCCTCGTGATATCATTTGGAATTTGATCCAGTGTAAATCCAACAGACAGTTTCGCTGCCATTTTAGCAATTGGGAAACCAGTAGCTTTGGATGCAAGTGCTGAAGACCGAGACACTCGAGGATTCATTTCAATGATCATGACCTCGCCATTCTTGGGATTCACAGCAAATTGCACATTTGAACCTCCACATTCTACACCAATCTCCCGAATGATTGCAACTGATTGATCCTGCATACAAATAAACACCGCACAAGGTTACTGTAGAGCACGTACACAACGCCAACTTCCGCGTCGAGTACCACCTCATGTTCAAGCCCAACATCAACACGCAAGGAATCACAACCGCATCAGGACAAGTACAGTGCAAACAAAAGATAAACATTACCCTCAAGCGTTGGTACTCTTTGTCTGTCAAAGTTTGAGCAGGAGCCACAGTTATAGAATCCCCAGTGTGGACACCCATGGAGTCAATATTCTCAATTGAACAGATGATCACCACGTTATCGGCCAAATCTCGCATCACCTCCAACTCGTACTCCTTCCAACCTAGTAGAGATTTTTCAACTAAAACCTACAGAAAACCATTTCAACTTCAGTATGCACACAATGATGGTTCACAACATTTACTGGACTAAGTGATCTAGTGTTGTGATAGCTTAATTATCTGAATCATGAACGAAAAAAATTCACGTGCACCAGCGCCAATGTTGACTCTGTCTGGATGCACAAAACAAGGGGCACCAACCAATAAAAACGTAGCTAGTTCTCCGATACATTACTATCCAGAAAACCCACACCAGAAATCTTCAGAGAGGCGATAGCCGTGCAGATGCTGACTCGAGCGTTTTGTCCACGGTAAGATGATGGCCATTGTTATGACGTAAGATGATGGCAATCAAGTGCTAGATACAAAGTCTACAGCTCACCTGCGAATTAATGCTTGCGCTAAGACCAGCTTTGCAAATTGTCTCGAACTCTTCCTTGTTGTAGGCGATACCACCACCAGTGCCTCCAAGGGTGAACGCCGGCCGGATAATTAGCGGGAACTCACCAATTCTCTCAGCAATTTCAAAGCACTGATCCATAGTATGCGCAATACCCGAGGGTGGGGAGTTTATTCCGATCTTAGCCATGGCTTTCTTAAATAATTCTCTATCTTCGGCTTTCTCAATAGCATCTAGTTTAGCACCTATCAATTCAACGTTGTACTTGTCGAGCACTCCACTTTTTGCCAGAGCGCAGGCAAGATTTAGAGCGGTTTGTCCTCCCATGGTAGGCAAAATTGCATCAGGCCTCTCCTTTTCGAGAACCTTCTCGACGAGTTCAGGGGTCATAGGAGTGATGTATGTGCGATCAGCGGTTTCGGGATCTGTCATGATTGTGGCAGGATTTGAGTTGATGAGGATTACTTCATAACCCTCTTCCTTCAAAGCTTTACATGCTTGAGTTCCTGAGTAATCGAATTCACAGGCTTGGCCAATTACAATAGGACCTGTCATATTAAAAGGCGCCATCAGTAATCATCAGTAACTACAAATACAACATATATATATATATATATATATATATTTCAATTTCAATTTGAAATCCGCATGTGTATGAAATGACCAGCGCGAGAATAATTCATATAATCAACCTCTGAGTTTTCTCCAACAGCCAGTCAACAAACTACAAAACTCTGATAGCTTCACTAGACAGTACATTGACAGCGCTTCGCAAGGCTAGACAAATGGTCACAATCCACACACAAGTGATCTAATGCTGCCTACGAGTGACAACTTTAAAGCTTCACAGATAAACCATTAAAGAATCAACATCTCATGAAAAAGCAATAAGCATAACCAAGTTTTCGCATCAAATGTATAATGACGAGGAATACGTGCTCGACTGTAGACAGAGGAATGAAAGACGAGAAAGGAGTTATGGTCTGTTAACAGACCTGCTCCCAGTACGAGGATTTTCTTTAGGTCCTTTCGCTTGCCACCGTTAAACCCTAAATTGCTCCACGACGCAAACGGAGCATCTGGGGATGAAGGGGCCATCTCCTTGACCTCGCCGGCCACACTCCCAATCTCCCATTTAATACGCTTTCCACCAGGTGGAGTCTGCCCCAGAGCACCGGGGCTATAGAAGTACACCTCTGGCACAGGCTCCGATGTCCTGCGAGAATTGGAGTAGCTGTCCCCCGACGCAGCAGAGACAGAAACAGCCCGTCCGGCACACCGCAAGGTAGGGAATATGCAGGTCTTAGAAGGGCACGGAAGTGGCACGGTGGTGCTCAAAAAGGCCGACTGCAGGGGCGCCACTCTTGCACGCCGAGAAGCATGTTTACGAGCGCCAGCTGAGGTCGATGCGACCTCCACCGCTGGCATTGCGGCTGCGACAGCACCACGCATGCGAACTCCTTCCATTGTCACTAACTAACTCCACCAAAGCTCAAAATCCTACCAACAGTCTGCTTCAGACTGCAAAGATCAATCTCAGAGTGAAGGCTAAAAACCAAGCAGCCTCACTCCTGAGAAGTCTCCTTGTTACAATGAAACGCGGTCCGTTTTTCTGCCTCCTCGCCGCAACAAACCACCTCGGCGTGTGTAGAACGACACGAGAAATGCAAATGGCCCCCGGGATGAGGTGCCTACTTCGATGCAGGCGCAAAAATTTCCAAGTGGAGAACCTGGAACCGGAATGGGAATTGGCGCCGCTGTCTTTTGCTGAAAAACCCTGCGGCCAGTGTCAGGTCCACTAGATTCCTAAACCCCCCTGAGGTGTTCTCCATGCATACCCGGACCAGTGACGCCTCCAAGGCCGTCATGCATCGTGCACCGGTCGTCAACCAAAGTTTCTGGCATTATGTCCACCTCTGCGAATGGAATCTTGACGTGTCGCCCTGCGACTCAGCCAACGCTGATGTCATCAACCACGTCACGTAGCTAGATGCGCCACATCCCAAAGACGGCTTGCTTGGCATGTGAAGAGCATTGAATGATATCACTTAAACCCACTTCGTTTCTTTCATTTTTATTATTTTTTCTAAAGAGCATTAGGGGGATGTCCATTGTACAAATTACAATTTCACTTTTTTAAATTTTGAAATTAACATCTGATCTAACATTTTGTAGTCATTTATAAATCTAAGATTTCGGATTTGGTTAAGTTCTCATGATTTCTCGAATAGATCTGCAAAGTTTAAATAAAACATACACCAACTTTTCCACTTTCCATTTGTCATTTTATACTTTCATGCACCTACAAAATTATAATTATTTTTTTATTTTTTCACTTAACTTTTCCTTTAAGATTATTTAAAATCAAGCTCCAAAAATCATTACAAATCCAATAACTTGAATGTAACCCAAGCAACATCTAAAATTGTACATTTTTGATAAATTATTTTTTACTTACACAGTTGTATACATGGTCTTTATCTCATTTTTTTAAGAAGGAAATTTTCAGATGAGATTATCAATCGATTGTTATTAATTCTTCCAATAAACCAACCAAAGAATTCAATTATAATAAAGTGTATGGGGTACCCTTGTTAGTTTTTTACAGATGCTCATGCATACTCTCTTTGACATATCCACAATCGGAAATACTCGCAATTGAAAATGCTCGCCATTACTCATGCGGGTTGGTAGAATCACAGGCATGCGAATTGTCCGGTCCACTTGGATGATTGTAGCCGTCGGCGAAACCACAAATCCTGCACACCTCATCCTCACTCGCTGACAGCATCAGTCGCATTGCGAACGGAATCCCACAGTGCTTGGAGTTGTCGAGATCCAGGATTACCACTTGGGATTTGTGTCTACATCGAAGAAACCCCGCATCGTGGCGTTTGAGAGAACGGATCGTCTCTTGAAGACAATTCGTGCGAGTTGCGGCGAGCCGCCGGCGTGCAACTGGATTCCTTTGCATGTTGTTTTTCCGGTGGGTGATTGGGGAGGTCCAACCATGGCGAAGGCCACTATGAAGACCATGTAGTTGTGGGGATTTTAGACGAGGAATTTGTAGTTTGGGCGTGATGACGCAAACTGAAGGAGCTTCAGAGGGAGATTGCGCAGCGCATTCTGTATCTGCTATCGATGATCATGTGTCAGAAAGTTGTGGAATATTTACTTTAGAGATTGAAGTGTACAATAAACACATTTTAATTATCAACGCAACACTTATTGATGTGTGTTGTTGATAAGATTAGTTTCTGCTGGTTAAACATCTCCAAACGAACCTCTTGCCGAACCCTGCCGGTTTTGCCCGTGCTTGAATTTTCATTCCCCTCTATCTCCGTCCTTTGTTCCTCAGGATCGCCGAGCTCGTTTGTGAGCTTCGTTGTGCTAGATGCTGTCTGTGGGCTTATGTGATTTCTGCTTCTACACAAGCACACAGAACCGGACCCAAGTAGCTGACAGCAGCTTCGAATTCTCTTGATCAAAACAGATTTTTGCCGAAATAGAATCAGCGCAAATTGCCTTTAAACCTGGCACTTAATTTGGTAGAAGAATCATGAGTCTCAGCCACGAAGGTGCGGATCCCATGAGGAGCAATGGAACTCGAACCACCTGCATACTGTCTGAGATACAATACATCTGGTTATAATCACGAAGCATCACCAGTTGAGTAATGACTTGAAATTCAAGCCATGGAAACAAGAGCAACACATCCAGCAGTCCAGTTGGGTGCTGTGCTAAGTTTTGCACAAGATATGTGCGGAAAACAAGGCCGTGAAGTAACATTGCGAACCCAAGAAAAACGCATTGTAGTAGTCGCACCGCTGAGAGTGAATCCTCCTCAGATCTGTTTATGCCAGGCCTAGAAATGGTTCAGCTTTTGTGTTGCTGTTGGCTTGTGCGCTTCTCAACTGCGCATTTCCATTCGTTTCTCATTTTTTGACAGAGTAGTGTTCGTGGTATCGTGTGGTGTAATGTTAAGTATTATCTCGTTTTTTTGGAGAGAGGTTTCTTGCTATGTTGGGGTTATTAGAGGAATATAGTGCTTTTGTTGCAGAGTTCGTCACCTAGGCATAGTTGCTTTCTTTCTTCTGTGGGTTGGATACACTACAAATTAATGCCGATTGTTATTTGAAGGCTGAGCCAGTTCCTTGTGTTGTATACATGGTTGACGCAAGAATACAACTTCTTTAACTTAATCTGGTAATTTATCAATTTTTTCCATAGGCCACGGATCTGTAAAACAGTGCTTTCTTTGATAATGTTAATAGAGCCTTCTGTGCAAAATTCCTTCTACATCCAAATCGTAATCGCGTGTGGTGAAAAACGTTGAATCCTCTGATTTTGTTTCATTTTGTGCATGGACTCATTTATTTTGGGACACATTCGTCATGTGCCGACTTGCTACAATTGGTTCATCTGGGACTTGTTAATGTTTCTACAGTTTAGAAGTGTCCTAACATCTGGCCTTTCTTCGTGGCATTACCTCTTAAACCTCTTTTGAACAATACAATCATGCCTGAAGTGCGCTGTATACTCATCTTCTTCCATAGTCGTGATTTTCAAGAACTTCATAGCCTCAATTTTGCAAAATCGCCTCATTTTGTTGCAGTTTAGTTATTCGCAACAGGAATGAAGTCGTCTGCGGGGACGACATCGAGAGTAAACAAGGATGGCACTACTTGAGTATGTACTCGTTGTTCCTGTCGTGTACGTGAAGCTCTTTGGGTATACAGAAGGCATAGCCCCTGTAGAGTGGGGAATTCTGTTTGCTCCATCTTCATAGAATCTTCTCTAGCTGAATGTCATGCTGTTCCACCTCATTATGATCCATCGGCAATTAAAATCAGAGCAGAGTTTTGAAGCATGGATTTGTTCAGCAAAACCAATAACTCAGTTTTCATAATCTCCTCGAGAGCAAACTACGATGTCACTTGTCGGGGGAACTGAATAGAACACTCGCGAATGTGAATTGATTTTGCTGAATTTAATGTTTTTCTACAAGGGTTGCGAAGGAATAGTTGGTTTTGACGGGATGAAGTAGACTGGAATGATCGAGCTCCTGGCAAGTGGAAAGCAGACGAGGCGCATTTCATACAAAGTTGGCTGAACTTAGTACGATACTTCACCAAAACATCATCATCGACCAAAGTCGGCTGAACTTAGTACAGAAAAATAGTTTAAGTAATCCTTGCCTTTGATCCCCAATGTTCAGAGCGACCCCTTCATCAAATCATTCGGTCACCGAAAATAAGAGTCCTTCGTTAGGATGCCGACCCAGATGCAGGCGTAGCTAATCATTTTTTGAACACTGTCTTCTTTCTGTGCATCAGATGCTTTAGATCTTTTTGTACAGCAGTCAAATGCAGACGAGATTGGTTCAGCACATTGACTGGGTTCTATTGACGAAACGTTCAACGTGTACATCCAGAAAGCTATCTGAAACACAACGGGAAGCAGACTTCTCCATGAGGACCGTCCACACCAGAGGCTAATGATTCTGGGGTAGCAGCGTTTTCCTTGAAGTTATCGGCGTGACTTCCCGAAAGCGTGAAACAAAATCCTTGTACACCTCATGTCGTCATTCCACATGCCCTAAAAACCAGATGTTGGCACGGTCATGTCCCTACAATAGCGAACAATTTTCCGAACAACCTAGGTAACTAGCAAAATCACGCAGAACCAGTTAATGAACACGGCCAGCGATTGGAAAATAACTTCAATCTGAGTTCTTTTGACGATGTTGCTAGTTGATATGAGCTATTACGAGTGGTTGGACTTGCTGCACAACCAACGACCTCCAACGCCACATTCACAAGAGCAACTACCCAACTTATTTAACTCGTTCCTCTTCCTTTTAAGCATCTCCTGTTCCATTTCTCTTACACAGCACACTGAATCAGGCTTACGGCAAGAGGCAGGATTTAGACAAATTTCTGAGTAGCTTCGCAATCAGCCAAATGTGATTAGCGTCATTTCTGCCGCCAAAGATAAAGCAATTGGGCACATGGACAATCGCTAGCAAATGATTGGTCCCAGTACAGACTGGATATCTGGAGGGTAACTTCCCCACAGGGTAACTTACTAGCTCTTAAAACTTCACATGGAGAGTATGCGAGTTGCCGCAAGCCCTTCGGAGAACCAGAGGGGAGATTTGGGTATGCTCTGACCGACGTGGCTCTACTCTAGAGGTCCGCTGGATCTTGTGTACAGCATGAACCAGAAACGGAAAGCGCAGGAGAATGAAGCAGCACCAGGGTGAATCTCTCGATGGGTCACGCACCACTTCTTTGATCCCAATCTTCGACCACAATCTGCAGAACTGTGTAGTACAATGCAACACTACCTGTACTTCTAGATAGATCTCTTAAAATCAACTTGGGTACAGAAGCTCTTAATCCTTTCGTCTTTGATATTGGGGCAGTGTTTCGGTGGCAAGACCAAGTGCTGGGTACCCAGGTATTCTTTGAGGTTACGAAACTGCGGAATTTCTTATCTTAGAATTCTGAATTTTGTACTTTTAGTGTCCATCATAGACCTTGCGAAACACGATTGGGGTAGGACGATTGCATTTGCCTTCTTTGTAGCAATGGGGACTAGAAGTCTGTGCCGAACGTATTCTAGTGATCAAAGTTCACGGCTTGTGTTGTGTTGTGCAATTGATTGTTTGTTTCTGATAAGTTTATGTGGATTCTCGTACCACAGACTGCGGAATTGAAGCCCGTCGTATATCAGAAAGGCGTTTTGAAGTGCTTCAACAACTCTCTTTCTCTCGCGTGAGGGGCCTGTGCCATCGGGAGAAGAGACTGAAATGGCCCAAACAATGAAAACTATGCAAGTGCTTGGCATGAGCGGCTCATTGGCTGGTACTTCACAATTCGTTGACAATTCTGTTTCTCTCCGAAGTGCAAAAGGGTTATCTAAATGCAGACGACCAGCTTTCTCAGTGAGAGCCCATGTGAAGGACGAGCATAGTACCCTTGCGGTAACGACGCCAGCCACCATCACCTCCATCGTTGTGTTGGCTGATGCCGGTGCAGCGAACGCCCTCACTAGCGAAGATGTCACTGGAACTGTCTTGAAGGTAAGAGAGTCCCCGTCAGAATTTTCACCTATGTACCTTGTGAATTGTAAGTCGCAAGGTCTCACAATCTGTCGAAATAATTCAACTTTCCTTCTATTTTCTTCGGAAAGAAGGATACAACAACTCGTAAACATATATGTGCACAAAATCTCGTTGAGAGACCCTACGCCATAGATGCGTGTCTCAATCTTGTCGGCTTCTGTTCACTAGACCAACCGAGATTCGAAGGTGTCATTGTGATTGTATCATTGTGATTCAAAGGAGTGCTAGTAAGAATATCTTCCTCTGAGATATCCTCTCAATTCACAAGTGAAATTAATTATGTACATTCCTTTGTATTTCTGGTTTTGACGAGAGCACTCTGCTCTGCTTCAGATGGAATCGATTGCCTCTCAAGTGGCCCAAACAGCAGTTGACGTATTCAACGCATCCAAGGACGTCTTTCAACAAGTTTTCACCTCCGTGAAGCCCGCTGTGGACGTTGCCACTCCTTACGTCCAACAGACTGCAGACTACGCGTACAAATCTGTCTTACCCATTGCAACAGACCTAGAGAAGCAGGCAGTGAAGGCCCTTCAGAGCAACGGCATTGACACGAAACCTGCACTGGATGTCGCCAAGGTAACTTTAAATATCATAAGAAATACCTTCAAATATCTAGCAGTAGACTTTACTGCGTCTCATTACATCCATTACAAAATGATGTCGCCCTCATTGACACTTTCATCAAAACTCATTCCTGATTGTTATTTGGTCTGCCTATGTGTGCCCACATCGCCATGAATTGATTCTCCTCTCTTGAACGTGGTCTTGGGTGAATTGTGTGTTGTACTAAATGCACCTTGCGAATGTTCGCAGACAGCAGTTAGCGTTGCTGGCGAAGCAGCCGGACAGGCTGAGAAGTACATTGAAAGCGCTCAGCCATCAATTTCAAGCACTCTTGACAACGTGTTATCCTCAGACCCCCTGGTGTTAGCCACAGGAGCTGGAGCCTTACTACTTTTGTATTTCTTGGCTCCTCCTTTGCTTTCGAATGTTTCCACCGCTGTGCGGGGATTCCGGGGTACGTGTGCCACTGTTGATAGAATTGGAATCTGCGCCTTGGCTGTCGATGCTTTGCTTTCTGTAACGGATCCTCTATTGGAGGGACAAGGATCCCCGAATGGTTTGTCAATTAGAAAATCCATACCCTCTCTTACCGTCGCTAGAGTAATCTACTAAAAAGCTTGTACATATTGCGATGAATCCCACAAATCACTACATTCTCTTGGTTGGCTAAGACTATGACATTTATATGATATGTGCAGGTGAACTTACCGCTCCCCAAGCTTTAGATCTTCTGACGAAGCAAGACTACGTTCTTATTGATGTGAGAAGCGAGAAGGAAAAGACCAAGTCTGGTGTACCCAGCTTGCCAAGAAACGTGAAGAACAAGTTCTTGTCTATTTCGTAAGTTCCTTTGTACACCACTTCGACTTCCTCATCAGCGACAAATGTGGCATTGTAAAGCCATGTGATACAGTACGCCTTGTGCGAGCGTGTACTATGTGGCCTCTGCCTGAAATGTTCCACACAATGGGTTCAACCCTTAAGAAATTGTCTACTAACCTGAAAGTTTTGTTTGGAGACAGAGTTGAGGAGTTGGCAGGGAAACTTAGGGGGCAAATTCGCAATGTCCGCAAGGTTGAGGCAGAGATTACTGCCCTCAAGATCGCATCCATGAAAAGACTTGACAAAGGTTCCAACATCGTCATCATAGATTCGTAAGCGTTTCTTTATCTCGGCTCTTTGCACTTTGCTTTTCGAACCATGGTCATGGTGTCTTATATGACACTACTACAGCCTCTTCTTGGGCTCTACATAGTAGTTTGTTACGCTTTGTTGTTAACCCTTAGTCATCTATACAATACTTTGACTTGGACACTGACCCTACATATCATTCACTGCAGGAACGGAGATATCGCCAAAATCATTGCCAAGTCATTATCAGGATTAGGATTCAAAAACGCTTGGATCATTGCCGACGGCTTTGATGGAAGAAGGGGCTGGGTACAAAGCAGTCTTGGCACAGAGACCAACTCATATGCCGAGGTCGTCCCTTCTCGCATGAACTCTGGAGGTAAAACATCCTCATAATCTGGGAGGAGTCAGTTGTTGCGGTTCAGATTTCTATGCGACAAAGAATTTTAATTTGCATTTGTCTAGAAAATCCGCAACAGCTATGAAGAAATTGGCCAATTCAGTACTAGGCTCATATTCTTTCTGTGAACATTTGTGGAAACTGGCTTTATTGACATCAAAGAACGTTTTATAGTAGTCGTCTTGGTGCAAGACACAGCATAGTCAGGGCCTCGCAACACACTCTTTTCTGGCGATGGTGATGAGTTAGTTAAAAATGTTATTCCTGAGCTAGAATTTTGAATGCTTGTGTATGAGAGCTGCAGCTTGCAAGTTTCTGTTGTTGATACAGTACCCCATTGATTATGATACCAATTGCCTGGCAGGTTACTAATGTTCCTGATTAACGTCGTGCAGGAACCAGAAGATTTTTCTCTAGCTCAGCAAAGAATGAATTGGATGGCGGTTCCTCACGACTTAGACTCCTTCCAGGGTCTTCGGACGATTAAACGTCATTTACAGAGTCAGAGATTTCATCCCCGACTCTCAGATGTATTATCAAAAGCATCGTACTTGCGAACTTCTGTATCACCTCAATTGGGAATTACTATATTTAGCCCATTAGTCTTGGTGGAAAGAGCACTGCATTACTGAGGTCTAGATTGAAAATGGAGATTCTTGTGTACAAAAATTTTTTCCATGATGCGGCGTTTGACTCAGACTGCTTCCATCAAGATGCAAGTCGACATCCATTTGTTTTCAAATAACTCCAACCAATAAAAGAATGCTTTTATCCTCACTAAGTGCTATTTGACGCTCAACTTTCGGAAGAAACAATCTATATGTCGCGCATTCGAGCTATTTCGTGAAGGGAAAAATAAGATAAAATAAAATAAAATAAAAATTGTTATTCATGTCGTGATGGCAGATGCACAATCTAGTTGCGGCATCCTCGTTCCCCTTTGTGGCTGTTGCTTCCAAAGCACAATCTGCAACATTCTCTGTGCACACTGTGCATTTTCTTTATCAATTCATCTGGTTCCTACTCTTGACAAAGTTTTTGAAAAATATGCTCTGGATTTGCTAATCGACGAGTATCTCACCACTGCACTTCGAGTATAAGCCAAAATTTTATAAGCATCACTTGTTTGCCACTTTGTAGTAGCAAACTATGCTACAACCACCTCCTTCGTCTAATCAAGCTATGCATGCTTTGGTCATACTCAGCTAGCATTCATAAATTTGCACCTTCTTGGGGATTTTTAAGGTTGTGTAATGAGTGCTTCTTCTTTTTGATTACTTTACTTTTTAGCTAAATATGAAGTCAAATGAAGCAAAATCTCATATTTGTATTTGTTGTGTACCACATTATGACATTTCCTAGTAGCTATACTAATCATACGTTGCTGTTCTTTGAAGTACATGTTTACTAGTTAAATATAAGTAAATTGTTTTCTCACGAAGGTTTTGGTCATGGTTTAATTCTAAATGAGTAATAGATTGAACTAAAGCAATATTTGAGTTGTGTTGATATAGGACGTGACTAATAGACAAAGTCTTGATTGCAAAGTCAGTAATTCCATTTGTATTCCAATGCAAGGATACTTAGAAAGAATTTTGACTTTGTTATTGAAGTTATTAGAATTTACTACATTATATTTAATTATATGTTATCTTCATTGGTTTAACAACAATCATATAGTGGTATGAATAGGAACAGAAACATATTATGAAAATGATTGAAAACTTTTTGATTCAATAACAAATTGTAACCCCAAATAATGGATGAACAAATAAGTAAATGTGACAGTTTTTTTGTATTGATTTGGCATTTTCATAAGATTCTATTGTTATTGAATAAAAATACATTCTGTTTCAAACATGTAATTATTCAGGTTTGCTACATAAATGATATTACATTTAAAAAAAAATACATCAAAGCTTTTTTGTTTATAAAAAAATTTAAGATGACACAAGAGTTCAAAAATTTAAAACATTGTTAAATTCATAACAATAATCTTCAAAATAATTGATTTGTTAATTCATATGCATTGTCATTTTTTTCTTAAATGAATAACACCAATTTACAAATACACATACATGTACACTCATATAATTTTTAGAATAAATAAGAAATTAATTTACATTTAATACAAATATAAATAAAGAAATTAAATTCATTTAAAAAATTACATTACAAGAAAATAAAAATATAATATATAAAAAAATTATTTTCTTATATGCTATTTTCATCACCAAACCTAATTATCTTTTTCAAGTACTAATTAGCCTTCAAAAGCCTTCAAAAACCTATCTTGAGACCATAGCACAAACACATACTCAACCAAAAGCCTTCAAAAAACTATCTTGAGACCATAGTAGAAACTTTTAGAAGTTGATTTTGTTCAAAGGTTTTAATGAAACCATCATTTTGAAAAAGAAAGATTTTCCTTACAATTCACAAGATTATTTTGGCATCTATCATAAGTATGACAAACAAAGCATTCAAGAGCCTTACCTAGTAAATGAAGCCAAGTCCTAGCGCAAGAGTGGGTATGAAGGGAACCATGTTCCCCACCCGTTCTCAAGTGGGAACTTCGTCTCTCTCCTTTTGCCAGTGTTCCTCCAAATCCACGCCACATTTTGTTTTTGGCAAGCAAATTGTTGTCAGAGGTTTCAATAATTCCTCGAAGGATTGTAATGCACCGCAAGCAGCGCGTCACTTTGAATTCCCTTCAGTTTCTGTCACCTTGTTCGCGGAGATCGTGAGCCTTGGTGGACAATGCATGTAGTTTGAAGATTAGGCGGGCATCGCGGTGCCCTGGTCGTCCATGTCACCGATTTTTAGACTTCTCTCGTCTGCTTCTTCCTCTTCTTCTGCTTTCCCTACGGCTCAATGCGAGGAATCATTTGGTGTTTTCTTAGATTTTTCCTTTAGTTCGGTGCCGAAGGATTTGTGAGGCAATTTTAGTTATGGTGTTTTCTGTACCCGACGGCTGTTGAATTGTCCAGTCGACCTCAGAATAAAACGGTGGGAATGAGAGACCTAGGTGTCACGCGGGGACTTGCGTTGGACCTGATTGGTATTGTAGGTCGCCGCTTGGTTTGAGATCACGGAGAGTAATCATGGCGATACTCTCTAATTTCGGCAGTGTAATCTGGGGAGGAATTCTTCCTGCTGTGAATTCAATTTCTGAGATTCGGAACAACAGAAGAACTAGGATATTTTGCTCCTTTACTGGGCGACCTCTAGAAGTTCACAAGGAAACACTGTCGACGAGAAGGATAATTTCAAGGCGGAAGTATCTTATCTGTAGTGTATACGACACTCCCGATGATGTTGAGGCAAGTGAGGAAAGCATAGTCCAAATAGACGAAGAAGTAGAGAAGAAAAGAACCGTGGGAGTGTTTTGGGATTTAGACAACAAGCCGCCCAATGGGGTAATGCCTTACAAGGCAGCTATCAGACTTAGAGACCTAGCTGGTGAGTTCGGGCTCGTTGTTGATATGGTTGCCTATGCGAATCGTCACGCATTCATTTATGTGCCGCAGTGGGTGCGAGATCAGAGGAAGGAAAGGAAACGGTTGAATTCGCTGGAAGTCCAGGGAATTGCGACTCCCTATCAACCTTATAGGTGCCAGTACTGTGGGAGAAAGTGCGATACATATTTTAAGCTGAAGAGGCATTTCAAGGGGCAGCACGAGAGAGAACGCAACAAAAGAATTAGCCACTTGAAGCATTTAAAAGGGGGAAAGAAACAGAGGTATATGGAGAAGCTGGCCCAGAAAGAAGACAAGTACCAGGCCATCGCTTCTCAGCTCCTGGTGCCCAAGCTAGGTTACGGCCTTGCTCCCGAGCTGAGACGAGCGGGCGTTTATGTGAGAACTGTGGAGGACCGACCCCAGGCAGCTGATGCAGCGCTCATAAAGCACATGAGTGTTTACATCAACAGGTAATTCTTCGTTTGTGCTCCCTAGTCTCAATTTCTCACTTCACCTTATTCCCACAAAGAAACATTCCTGAAACCATCAGCAACAGTAGTGGTTTGTCAAGTGATATTTGGTGCGGGAATTTGCAGTTCTTCTAGAGATCGAGTTTTCCTGCGACTTAGTATATTGAGAGGTTTTGTTAGTCATCGAATTTCGAGACTGCCCTTCCATCAGTGCGTGCTTTTGATTTTGATTCTTTTACGACATTTGTGAATTCGAAATGATGGTATTGTTTTTGTCACAGAGGTCTAGAAACCCTCATCCTAGTGTCAGACGACTCTGACTTCACCGACATTCTGAGGCTTGCAAGCATGCGGAACTTGCAAACGATTGTAATAGGAGACACAATGACACTTAGTAGACATGCAGACATCTCGTTCTCATGGCAGGAAGTGGCGAGCGGAAGGGCTCAAATGGCAGCTGCAGAAGCGCACAGGCAGTGGACGGACAAGGCTGCTTTGATCAAAGAACGTCAGGATGATTTGGATCAACACGATCAGAATCATGCGGAATTCGTGACTATGCGACCGAATTCGGATGTGTCAGCTTTTACCTCCTCAGAATCTATCGAGTGGGAGAGCGATGGGGATGAGGATAGTGAAGCATTCTGGGAGGGTGATTTTGATTATGAAGTTGAGGGCTTTGATAATGAAGACTTCTCCTCACAGAGCAAAAGTGTCGCAAAGAAGTCCAATAAGGTTTACCAATGAGTGGTCACACAATGCTCCGGAGGGCTTCTGAAGAGAGCATGTTGTTCATAAGGATTCAAAGGACTAGTGTCAACTGGAAAGGCTGTTAGTTGCAATAGTTACGTCGATTAAATTCACTTAGTGACGATGACATGTTAGATGTTCATGCGGGAATGCCAATTTTCTAAAATTTTCGATTGAAAGTTGTACGATAAGCGGTGGATTATGTGCAGTTCAGCAAGTTGTGAATGAGAATTGAGGATGTACTATATACAATTTTTCTATTTGCAGTGAAAAACGTGTACAAAACGGAAGAGTATTTGGAGAGAGGATTTCGACAGGTTACTGTTAAACATGGGGTGCACATGGCACGAATTTTGGTCCAGTTAAAATCGCAGCGATTAAAGTGGGTGCTTAATCAACGCTGAAATACATATACAATAGTGTATAAGAAGTCTTCCTCTCAAGGAACGGAGGACTGAATAATCTTCAGCAGGAAAATCTATCATTCCTCCGTCAATGACTGAGCTAAATTTACTAACTATGACCACCAACAATTTTCTTCACCTGAATTTTTTTTCCAGTGCTAGAAATTGAGAAGAGCTGATAAACCATTCCATCCGAACAAGCCTGGCCTTTCCGCATGGTTGGGAGGAGCGAAATTGAGGGCGAACATTTCTTTGGGGGCAGACCCAGGATTGATGATGCCCACGATCCTCGCTACCACTTCAGCACTGGCTTGGATATGACCCAGATTGTGAGGGTCCATCCACAGTTTGTAAACTAGCTGGAGCTTTCGTTGCTTTCCCTCGATGGGGACACCCCACCTCATGAACAAGTCTTCCCTTTCTTCAGCCGACATCCTTCGTCCCATCTGCCTCGCAAGAAGTTCTCTTTCCCTCTTCAGGTTTCTTGCACTGCACAAATCAATTAGTTGTTCATTCAGCAGCATGTTAGTGTCTGCAACGTGAACCAATGAAGACTTGAGCCTGGGTACTCCTGAGAGATTTGATCGGAAGAAAGTCTTGATGTCAAAAATAATGCAAGATATGTAATGTTAGTCAAGGGCAAGTTGTTACCTGTTACCACAGTTCGGGCTAGCAGGTATTAATTGCTCCTCAATATTGTTGACATTGTGTTGGTACGGTGAAGACTCGGCGTTGAAGTTCTCCTGCAACCAAGTTAAGCGGCGCAATTCCACTTCTATGTAAATGGCATCAGAAGGATCTCCCTTGAATAGGAGATAGAATTGCGTTCTGTGGATGATGGAGACATTGCATGAGTCCCACAACTCGAAGATATGTGCCCTCTGCAGCTCGAATTGACACTTCCAGCTGCCTGGTGATTGTACAGGCTCCATGGCCAGCTCATCATCATTAAGATCGTCATCTCCTTCCTCGTCTCCATTCCCGCTGGCTTCTAATTCAAGAACCTATTGCAAGTATCAAGAAGCAATGAGAGATTGGAAGTGAGACATCACAACGGACTGAGCGCATTGAGGCTCCAACTTCTGGGGATAGCCCTGAACAGCAGGTATAGATTTGCGACCAGAAGTATGCGTCAGAAGTGGCTTGATATACGAACAATCCTTGTACTTACCTGACAGACAAGTAGCTGTTTCTGGTATTGAAGTTTCGCCACACGCTCTTTCAATTCCGTGACATAGGAACGGATGCTTTTGATATTGTCCTCAGCTGCGGTCTTGAACAAATTCTGCATTTTCCGAATGTCCACTGAATTGGATCTTTTGTGGGCACCACCAGGGCTCATTTTGGACAGGCTTGAATTAAGGTCGGATTTGGCTGGAGATGCTCCTTGTTTATGATTTCCGTTCCCTCGAAGTGTTCCGTGATCTGCTCCGTTTTGGGGATGGTTATCACGTGGGACTCGCGGGGGCGTGTTTTCATTGTTCTCGACATTACTATATCTCAAACTCCTCCGAGCAGCTGGAGAGCAAGGCATATCAGCAGTAAGTCGTTGCCTAGCCATGGCGGTCGAGGGCGTTGGGGGGACATCTTTCTTGCGGGCAGGTGTTCTGGGTGATTGTCCAACATCCTACACATTACGTAGATCAAGAAGCATGCAAATGTCAACCATTTGCAGTAAGAGATACTCTGTCCTAAAGTTATGACCAGAAGATCGCCCTCAACAGCGTCAAAAGTTTTAAAAATAGATAAGTGGCATTCGCAGTTGGTTAAATGGATAACTAGAGCTAGAAGGCGCAACAACACAAACTAACGCGTGTAAACTATTCTTTCGGATTACTCGTCCTGACTGCAAGCAATCAGATGCGTTGATACGAGTGTTCGTTCTTCATCAGTTAATTCATCTGGGAAGCCAAGTTTGCAGGATGAAGATTACCTTCGGCGATTGTGCCTCGTTTGCAAGAATCAAATTGTCCAAAGACCTCTGTACACTCTCCAATTGCTCCTCTAATGTTGCTATGGCAGCATCAGCGTCAGTTTTATCCTTGTCTCCCAATCTAGAGAGCTCTTGTCGCAAAGTCGCGGGGTTCAGACTTATGGACTGGCGGAGACTGGCTATATCTTCCTTGTTATCCAAGCACTTTAACCTCGAGGTTGTGGCGCGAAGGCTGTGCATTGTCTGAATTTCTTCCTGAAGTTTCTTGACTGTAGATGCAGCGTCATGGTTCATGCCAGCTTGAGCCATCCTTAAGCATTCAACCTCTTTCTGAAGGGCTTCAAGAGCTCGATTAGCGTCCTCTCCTAGTTCGTCCTGCAGATTTTCAAGCTTGCGGATCTCCTGCACTAGCATTACAGACGCGGCAGTAGATTGTCTTACTGACATGTTTGGTCCTTTTGGTCGAACACTGCGAGGGGGTGTGTGGGGCTGCTGGTTTTGTTCCTCGAATTTTCGGATGAGATAATCGCCCGAATCAGACCACCTTCTTCGATTCGTCGCAATTGACAGAGGTGTGCGGAAAATGGGTTGAGGCCCCGGCGCTAACGGCTACATGCACACGACGTGAATGGAGTTACTTAGTAGCTTACAGCTCCAGTCTAGGAGTTGAAATGAGGTTTTGATAATCGACTACGGACCCCATCCTCTCTGATATTAAATCGGAAATCAAGTTGTGAGATGGAGACATAAATCGTTAGATCTTACAGGTCTTTGCGCCGCTTGCTCGGCAAGCTTCTTGGCTGCCTCTTCAGCTTGCCTTTTGGCCAACTCTTCGGCCTCCAGCTTCCTGCTGACCTCGTCAAGTCGGGCCTGTGCAGCATCACGCTGGACTTGCAGCTCCCTTAGCTCTTCCTCCATCTGTGGGACTTCCAGTCTAAGTACACAAGCTCGGCGGCCGGATCTCACAACTCAAGTGGGAACACCAAAATCCACACGATGTAGAGAGATACAAACCTTCTGAATCTGGAGGTCTTTGGCTTGGAGAAGTGCTTCAGATGAGGCTGAATCAGCAGGAGTTACATCAGGTATTTTCAGCTCGGCTTCCAGTCTAGCCACCTCTTTCTGCAGCTGCTTCACCAGCACCTTGTCTGATACAACCTGTAATTCAGACGTAGAACACGGTTACGATCAGTTACATGAGAATCGAAGAACATAATGAGAAATTTTGGAGAATTAACAGAGGGCTCGAGAATCTGCGTGTTGATCATCTGTGTAGGGGTCTTCATACTTTCAGGGGAGAAGCATCTAAGCATATACATGCATGTGGATTAGAGCTACACTGACCTGTTCAGATTACGGGTATGATAGTGAGAGCAGGCCCAATCGGATTAGCACAGATATAGACCCCATTCGAAAATGTAATATTTTGTCAGACGCGGACACCTCGAGCAAAACAAGCACAGGAACCATACCATGTTGATTTGGGTGGTGTTGGTTACTTCCTTCGCCCTAGTTGCGAATGCAAGGGTGTTGCGGGATTGCTCAACATGGCTATGGGCAGGGCTCATTGTGCAAATAATAGCAGTTCTTGCATTTCCTCCCAACGAATGCTGTAGAATCCTCGTCAGCTTTGAGTCTCTATACGGTATATGCCCTTTGATCTTACTTCCTCCACTGGAAGCAACGGATTAAAATTCAAGTTCAGCATTAAATATTAGGCATACCAAGATTTAAATGAAAATAGGATGCACATGCTGGTTCTTTAACTAATTCGCAAGTTTCAGATGCAAGAGCTCTAGATAGTGTGTACCTGAGCTTGCGAATACAAGTGCTCAAGGTTAGTAAGCTGCGGTTAATGTGAGCTCCTTCCTTCAGCCTGGCTCCATCGGCATTAGTTTGTGATGCTCTCTCACTTCCAGCCAGATCGACGAAATTCTGTAATGAAATGAAGAGGAATTAGTGCTCTAGATTAATGACCATTGAATGTACGTCAACAGAGGCGGAAGGCCTATTCCCATGACGCTGGTCTCATACTAAACCGAACATAGTGTTTAGATAGATGTGATGAACCCGACAGTTACCAGGCTCGCAATTAAAGAGGTTGCTGTACTTCCTGGAGCAACTCCAAATGGGTGGCTCTCCACTGTCTGCACAAACAAGCCAGAAGTTCATACCTGACAGCAGGACCCAACCCCAGCAGGGCTGCGTAAGGATAAACCAATCCCACTAGCCGCCTCCGCACCAATTGCTGAACTCAAGTAATACAAGGGTCTTAAGGGAGAGCGTGTACCAATCGAATGATCTGATGGGACCTGGAAGATACATCGTTTAGACTTGTCTCTCCGACTTGTCTCTGAGCTGCAGAAATGAAACATGAAAACATGCTATAACCTCTGTATCACTGTGAGGATGAAAATGCATGCAATTCATTTTGGCCCTAGACTGGAATTGATCTATGAACAGGAGTCTCACACTTGTGATATTCCATTATTAAGGTTCAAGGTTCCTTTACCTTCGCAAATCTTTATCACCTGCCGCAAATGGTTAATATCACGTACGACCTCCTCCTTTAATTTGTCCACAACAGTACCTTTCTGCAACATGGAATCATCCAGTTACGAGTGGTTCATCTAGTTGCACGTACGTTCCACAAGATACAACAAGTAGAATATATGAAACGCATAGACGAGAATTGAAACGAAAGGAGGCATCCAATGTTCTCCGCCATAGATAGACAAGGTGAAGGATTATTGACTTACTTCTTTGTCATCAAGCAACCGCAGAGGGGCACCCTCAGTGGCCAGCAAATCTTTCACCACCTCGTTGTAAATTTCAAGTGCAGAAACTTTTAGCACAAACTCCCTGTCTGGGCTCTGTAAAAAGTAAGATAAAGAATGCCCTTGAGCAAATCTGGAAAGCATGACACTAATGAATCCCTACTGAGAGAAGGATTTTGTTTCGTAATTGGGAGAGTAACAAAAAGAGCTTGAAGCATACGTTCTGCTACGGTACTGATCATACAAGCCGAAACAGCAGTAGGAAATCTTAATTCGTACAAAACTCCAATGATCAACACCTCAGCGCTTGGGTACTGGAAATAAGAGCTTAATATAAATTGAACATATAGTCTAATATAAAGCGCGAATAGGACATAGCAATTCAAGTCAATAAGAAAAATATGCCGATTTCGTTGACATTCATAGAATGTAACTAAATACAAAGAGGGGCACGTTCCTATCCTGAAACAGAGTAGAAGACATACGCGTTGAATGTAGTCAAAAATGTCTGCAATAGCACTATCGGTGACACCCCTCATTGTGAAAGTCTTCCCGCTGCTGGTCTGCCCATATGCGAAGATCGTAGCTGCGACGATCCAAGTTCAGAACAAATTTGACACCCACGCATGGGAGCTCAAGAAGTTTCAGGTTACAAAATCTTGCAGCTTCTACTGCCTTCAGAAGGTAAGTGCAAGAAATTATCAGAGGATTTGGTCGAGGACATGCTTACCATTGAGACCAGTGAGGGCTGAAAGAGCCACATCTTTAGCTCCTTCTTCATAAACCCTCAGTGTTTGGCAATCAGGCCCAAACACACGATCTGCATGCACACATTGCTGGTCAATCTCAATTCTTGTGCTACCGTAATAACCGCTCAGTTGTGGTCAACTGTGCATTCAACTCACAACTGAGCGGTTCTCAGCAGTGCTGCAGAGCTTCAGGCGTCCTCGAAGCTATAAATTCTATCACAGGCAATAAAGCTTACACCATGAATCTGAATCTGAACCGAGCCAGCGCCGTCTTCTATTCGAAGGTAACGTTGTCACGAGTGGGGAAACGCACAGAGTTTCAATAAATGCATGAACAAATGGAATCTCTGTAACGATTAAGTTGTAGCTCACCAAATGTATACGCAGCAGGAAAGGGTGATCGCTCTGGTAACGCATGTTTATATGCTATGGTATGGCCATTGGAGCACACCCAATCAGAAACGTCGGAACGCGCAACCTCCTTTGCGCTAAGAGGCCTAACTCGGACTGTGACATAGATATTCTCTTCCCCGCTCTTGACTCGCGCAAACTGAGTAGCTCCACCTCTCTCAGTAGCCACAGTCATGGCTGAGACCATAGGCCTACTACGTAGGTTCTCCTTTAATCCTGTTCTCAATGTTGTAACTCTCCCTCACCAGCAGATGGAGTGGAGGCAGAATTCGTCTTCCAACTGAGCACATCAAATCAATTCCAAGATTGCACACGCGCACACCGTGCCGCTCACCGCTCCGGTTTACTCAATCGCACCTCGCAACAGGATTAACAACCGCTCTCAAACCTATCCTCAATACACTAAAACTAAGTAGACAAACTACTTCCAGTGCTGCGGCACAGAACCTCTACAGGAAACCATCCACCGATGACAAAATTGAACATGGTACAGCCTCTAGCAAAATCGCAAACAATCACAGCGCTTTCACAAGTCAAAAGGACCACTGACTTCTCTCAGATACAGGTACAGAACGAGTTGCCAGGAGCTCTATTTCGGATGCAAGGGGAGAGAAATAACTGTAGAGTTAGAAGATAAGCAGCATTAGCGGGAAGACGAAACATGGCGTGACTACGCATTCGGCAGGAATTTGAGACAACGGTCACAAAGACCAGAGGCTCGACAGAGCTTAGGAAACAAAACAAATTGGAGGGATCGAATGGCGAGCTACGGGAACCGCAGGGAAACTCTCCCGCCCAACGGTCATGAGAATGCATAATCTGCCTCCACTCTGTCATTCCAGGGGCTATTCTGCGCGGAATTGGCTATCCGTGCCGGAAAACAAGCATCATTTCAAGTTTGTGCCAGTTCCACGGTGGAACCTGCGTGGGCTTCTCATCGGAACCATACAAGTTAACCAACGTGAATGAATCCGACGCCCGTTCTTCGTCGTAATCAGCGTGACCTAATTTGTGATTGAGCGTTAAAAAAAATCTATTTTTTGTCCACAGGAAATTGAAGTCTGGGCACGAAGTGTTGGACTACATTATAAATAGGAGGTACAGAATATTTTACTACCTTAAATTAAGAATATTTTATCACTCGAATTAAACAGAATGAAAGTGGGATGGATCTTGGAAAAAATAACTCTCGTAAAGATTTTGTGAAACTCAAAATCGCTGGAATTACCCGTCCTTTAAGGTGGATGTTAAAGTATTTTGTGCAATTTTACTTTAAGCTATTTTATTTTTTAAAATTCATTAATTAATGTATATAAATTTATGCATTAGAAATGATCCTTTTAATTGTTTACTATCACAATATTGAAAAATGCACATATATAGTTTTTATATTTTAGCAGACATACTAGCAAAATCAACTAGTAGGATTTACAAAAATATTTAATTAAATTTAATTAAAAAACTAAATATAATCTTGTAATATACTAAGCATTGAACTATTTTTAAAATTTAATAGTGAGATATCATGATGATTCCATTGTATTTATGAACTATATATATATATATATATATATATATATATATGTATTAAAATCTATTAAAAAAATTAAATTTGTAAAATTAAAAATATACAACATGAAATGCACACAGATATGATATTTTGTACACATATTAAAATTTACAAAAAGTTATGTATTATAATAATTATTATTAAAAAAAAACACTTAAATTTAATTGAATTCAACAATAAATTGTTTGTTGAAATAAAAGAAACTAAAGAAATATGTCAAGTAGATGGCATGTTATTTAGGCAGTAACAAAAATTATAGTGGTATTGGCAACATTCTTTACTTAATTTGTGTGTTTTGCACTAATATATTGTGTGCAAAACACATTTTATGGTATAGAATCAATATAAACTATACCTACACTAACATATTTTTGGTTATAAATATGCATCTCAAAGGTACAAGTGGTAGTATTAGATAATACATCATAGAGCACAAATCAAAGTCTTATTTGAGTTGTAGCTCAATATACATTTCAATTAAAAAATTGGTAGTATAACCTTACATACACATACACCACTACCACCAAAATAAAAATATACAAAAAAAATCTAAATAGATAGAGATATCCTACAAAGTTGAGGCCATGGAAGCAACTTTTATTTGCTCCTTATAATATTATTGAAGCCCCTTTCATGATGGTGCATCCAACCAACATCATCTTAAGGTAGAAAGTTGATAACTTTAATTTAAAAGTACTTCTATTAATTTCTTAACTTTCTTTAGATTTTTCATTACATTTTAGACATATCCATCTTTCAATAGGGATTTGATTTAAATGTAGTATCAAACACCTTGTTTGTCAACTTGTTGAACAAACATTACATTGAATTATTGTTGTAGCTCCTTGAGGTCTTTGAAAACATGCACTTTAAGCTAGCTAAAATAATACTCAAATAAGATTTTATATTGGTATATATATATATATATATATATATATATATATATAGAGAGAGAAAATAACAAGATGTATAATTATTAAAATAGTCTTTTTAAATTTTTTCATCTTAATGTTCTAATTCCAATACATAACTTGAAAGTACCTTCTTAATCCTTAAAATGACTCTACTAGCTATTATGTCAAATGTAGTTGATATAGTTTGTTATTACAAAGATTACAAGAATGTGAAAAGTTGGTGCAAGAAATCTAGGATGAACTAAGATATTTTGGAATTAAAAAATTTATAATCTTTTATAAGATTAGTATTAGCAGGTTGATATACATAGACATGTATAATGGATTGTTTTTAGATATTGAGTATGTGACAAGGTTTTGTACAAAATTAATGCACCAACCTTTATCAATCATGAATTTAGGAGATTGATAGAATTTGGATTTTATACAGACTTTGGCTATTATTAAGAGACATAATCAGTATGTGCTAGTAACAATTAAATACTTTTCAAAATGTATAGATTTGGTGAGATTACTTTGTAAATTCAGTGAAGAATTAACTTATGCTTTCTTAGATTAAATTCTAAGTTGTTTTGGAGCTCCAACTAAAGTATTAATTGATCAAGCCAAAGAATTCTTAGATGATTTTCAAGTTTTTTTTGTAGCAAGCATTTATTGATCATAGGACTACATATTGAGATAATGATGAGGTAGATAAGTTGAAAAAATACATAGTACTGGTTGTCAAGAAAGCTCTTGGGAAATATAAATAGGGATTAGAACTTGCTATAGAATATTACTTCAGCAAGAAGACTTCTTTGGCCACATTTTTTTTTTTTTTTTTTTTTTTTTTTTTTTTGTTGTGTAAACAATAATCAATCTTTTCAACTTTTATTAAATATAATATACAAGTAATAGTTAAAGTTAAAAATAGAAGTATGTAATATACAAATAAAATTATTTCAATATATTATGCTTATGGCTTTTAATAATCTTATTATTATTCAATATTATGATACTTTAAGATATATTACTATTTGAAAGAGAGACTATCAATCACATTTAATATTTTTTGAAGTAAATAAGTCTTTTCTTACTCAAACCTTTTAGCTTATTGTAGAATATTGTCTCTCTATTTAAAAATCATATCAAGTGATAATTCCTTATTTCTTAGGTAATCAAATATTGATTCATTTTTAAAATATGCTTAATGCTCATAGACTCTTTTTTTAATATTATATCATTAATATTTTTTTTTATTATTATTTTAATAATAATTTTCTATTCATTGTCAAAAAAATAAAAAATAATAATAAATGCTATCTTAAAAATTCTTTCTTATTCTTTCAAATATGCCACCTAATTCTTATAAAATTCTTTTTGCTTTGACATAGATTTTTACTCACTCTATTTGTGCTTGTATTTATCAATCTTGCCATATGTACTATCTTAAAGTCTTATTTTTGTAGCATAAAGATACATCTTAGAAAATTTAGGAATTATTTTATTAAATTTTATTAATAATTAAAATGATATTGATTTGTTATTAAGAAAAATTCTCTAATATATAAATAATTTTAAAAATATAATTACTAAAACTGCAACTAAGCAATCTTCTTCATATAAATTACATTATGTCTTAATATTTTTCTTTGATCTACTAGTATAAGCTACTATAAATTCATTGTTTCTATCTTTTCTTTAAATAAAATAATTATAATATCTAAAATTATTTAATTAGAATGGAATTAATTTGATCTTTTAAAAATATATTTTTATGAAATTATTATATTAGTCAATCTAAACTAAAATTTTTTAATTAGATATTAATCAAATCAATTAGTTGGACCAATAAAACCTTGTTATTGTGAAGAAAGATCTTAAATAGTTACTATATTATTTATAACAATTGTATTTAACTAATTGGATGAAGACCAATACAGATGAAGGCCAAAATAGATGAGGATTCAATTTGAATAAAAGTTGAAGCCATTATAGTAACTAGGATTTAGAGTTAGGAAGAGACTTCCAACCTTTTTTTTGAAAGATTCATATGTGTGTGTCAAGGACATACTCACGTAAGCTAGTAATTACATATATAAATAGGTAGAAGTAAGTAAAAGTAGATAAAAGTAAATTAATTCTATAGTATTTGATATGGAAGCTTCTTAGAAGCTATATAGATGCTGCTTTGACTTTATAGGTGTCTTTAATTGACTTTTTGGATTAGAAACGTGGTCAACAAGTTGGCCATGTGCCACACATGTTGTTAGCTTGAAGACCAAGCTAACTATATGGCCCACACGTAGAAAAACTTACCTTGTAAGTCAAGGCATGTGTCCTACAAAGTCAACACATATTAGAGGTCCTATAGAACGTCGCCATGTAGCCCCTAGTTAGATAACATATATACAGACAAGAGTGAAGCCTTCTTCACTCTTGTCAACTCCTTTCTTGTTTCCAGTCTAGTTTCAAGAGTCTTTATGTTTTTTAGACTTTAGCAATAGCCATTCCAGTTTCTCTTTCAATATAGATACTTGTTTATTTATATTTTGTTACCTTTCTTTGAGTGAAGGCTCACTTGTTTGAATTACTTTTTCATCGAGTTTTTGCATTTGACAGATTGATAAGAGTACACTTACAATATCAGAGCTTTGTCTTTTCTTGATTAAGAATAGATTACCCCTTTTTCTTGATAAGACATAAGCGTATTAAGAGTTGCAGATTAACCTCTTTTAAATTGATATTATTTTTAGTATTTTCTTTGTTCTCAAGTCCGTTTTCTTACTTGACTTGAGCAATATTAGACATTTTTTTTTTTTTTTTTTTTTTCTAGATGTTACCATGGTAGAGCTTGTCGAATTGAAGAGTGCAATGACACAAATGTAAGAACAACTGAGGCAATTAATGCTTGTGATGCATCAACTTAATTCACCAACAGAAGGAAGAACAAGAATAACAAAAAGTGGAGATGTAGAGATGGTCAGAGTTGCTTCAACATCTACATCAAATCGTGCTCCTTCTCCCATGGTGGAATACCATTCTCTCGAACCAAGAATTGTCTTATCCGAGAAATTTGATGGTACGAGATTAAAGTTTTGAGGATTCATCAATCAAGTACAATTGACAATCGAACTTCAACCCCAAAGCTATCCAACTCCAGGATCACAAGTCAGGTTTATTGGAACACTACTTTCTAGTTCTGCATTATCATGGTTTTCATCTTTTCTTGAATGACAAGATCTAATATTGGATAATTTAGAAGCTTTAT